AAATTAGAAACTATATAATTTTTTTATTTTAATGTCATTTTAAATTTTTAGTTGAAAATTTTATAATCATATATTTTGTTACAAAAGTTACTATATTATTATAATTTAATAAATTAATCAAAATATGTAAACAACTTTGATTGGTTTTCTATTAAGTTTTGTATGAATAAAACAATCTATATGGATTAATCTATCTTTGGAGCTGGGAAAAGTTTTGTTTGTGAGAGTTTTTTTTATAGACGGAAGAATCGTGTTTTAAATTGGGAGATATATGTTTGAAAAAAACTTGGCTTTCTGCATAAAGTTCACCTTAAAAGTTTACTGGATACGGCAGTTTCTATATTATTAAACCATAACATAGGACACATGAAATACTGTATGAATCAGTAAGGACCACCTTCGGTTCGTTTAGATAACGAAGATATAATTCTAGGTTATGTACTACCATGGCTGACTGAATAAGCGGTTAGTGCCGGTTTATTAAGCTGCTAGACAAACAGACTTTTTTAAGGTAAGGGGGTTTTGGGATTGCTTATATAAAACAACTTATGTTTTTTTATAAAAGTGTTTATTAATTTATATGGTATCAAACCGGATTTAAATAAAATATGGTTAAAATTGTAAATTGGTAATAAACAGTTTTTTATAAATCAGGAAAGATTAACTTATCAAAAACAACTTATTACCGATTTGACACCGGTATAAACAATTTTTTTTCTTTATCCAAATACCATAAAAATCATCGGTGCCTAATTAAAATAAGTTAAAAATCACCTTATTTTAGTTGGTTCGTTGAGCTCTGTCTTACCAAAACCCAAAAGAAAAGAGAGGTTCTGCTGTTTCTGTGTTGTGTCTTGTTCTTGTTCTGTGCTACACCAATCGCACGCTTAATGCTATATTAATCCTGCAACACACCAGACGCTTGCTATCGCAAACCCGACGAATTTGTTATCGTAAGAGTGAAGCTGCTGAAATCTAGTGAAGAGGGAATTGACAAAATGGCGCCTCATAAACCCTAAGAGCCCAGCTATTTGATAAGAAATTAAATGGCTTCAAAATCTCCTTTCCTAATGAAGTCTTTTGGATTCAGCAATGCCTTCAGGCCGAGTCTCCTTTTCAATATAATTTCTTCCGACATACAACAGGTTCTCTGTCTCAGTCACCCTAATCAATTTGAATTTGTATGGTTCCTTTTTGACATGCTTTTTATGTGATTCTTCTTGGTGTTTTCATGAATTAAGAATCTGCGGAGAGGAAGAATCATTTGGACTAAAATAAGCAGTTGTTATTTTTCATCTGCAGGTAAACAGAAGCTTGCCTTTGTTATTTTGCATATATTTTGTATACATTTGTGTGGTATCTGCACATATTGAATGTCTTTATGCATCACCCTGTATTCTGAAGTTTGTAATGTGAAGATAATTGATCGACTTTCAATCGATTATAGTTAGCAGGGTTGAGCCCATTAGTATTTGCATGTATGTACAATATAAAACATCTCAGGTTTAGTGGTTTGATTCTGTAATAATCTTTTGCCTCATTAACATTTCACTTATTCAGTCAGCTATACATGACTGTTGGTAGTGGTTTAGTGATATAGAAAATGGCTTATTCAGTAAGCTCTAGGAGGGAGCTTTATGCAGAAAGCCAAATTTTTTCCAAACATGCCCCTCCTAATTAAAAAACACGCCCCTTCCATCTATGAAAACACCCTTGCAAACAAAAACCTTCCCACTCTATTCAGACAGATTAATCCACAGAGGCAGCTTTATCCATAGTGGAAAGTGGAAACCAAACCAAACAGCCCCCTTTATACGATATTAAAAGAAGGAACAAAATTTGTTTTCAACAGGAAGGCACCCGAAGGTTTATAAACAAATTTATTAGTATTAAATCTTTGTAAGGGCTGGATATAGAACTAAATTAGCCTAATTTATATATATTAGATATAACATGATGTATGTGAGGACTTTTAGACATTTCCAAAGACATGACCTCATATAGGAGTATGTAGAGATGCTAGACTAGGGGTGGTATATTTTGTGTGAGGACTCGTGGTTATTGTGGGCGGGGAGGGGTGGGAAAGGTTGAGGATGGGATGGAGGAGGGTTAGAGAGCCGTTAGTTGGTATCGGTGTACTAGGATCGGTAAGCGGAGCTTTTGGGCGACCTTATTTCGGTGGGGGTCTTATGGCTCACTTGTTCTATTGTTTTACCGCACTTCGTCTTTGATGTTTTTTGCTTATGCTTTTATGCCCATGCTAGTTTTAATCTTTTCTCTTCTTGTTTAGTGTGCCTATTTGCTCTACTTTTCCAAGCTTTGTTTCCTTCCCAAGTTTGTCTCAAACTTTTCTTTTAACTCTCCGAAACTTCATTTCTTCCTATTTTTAGAAAACTTTCCTAGTAGCTAAATACTCCATAATTTCAAGACTTGTTTGTAAGCCGTGTTCATAGAAACAACCCCTCTACCTCTTGGGGTAGAGGAAAGGTCTACATACATCTTATCCTCCCCAGACCCTACGCCATGTCGGATTTACTAGGTTTCTTTGTTTTGATTTTATGATGTATGTGAGAACCAACAAAGTACTCAATTTTTCAATAAAGTACCCTTTTGTTAATATAGAGGTGGTCTTTTTGTCTTATGCAATCAATAAATTCCTTTACTACGAAGCTCTACAACTCATTTGTTTATTATCTTGGGGTCATGATATTTTTGGTCATTACATTAAATTCCTCCAAAGGTTCAAGATTTGGAGGTTTGTTACCAACAAGGATAGTATACCTCTTTCAGTCTTTCTTGTTCCCCTCTTTTTTGGTTGAATCATTGGAAAACATCATAGTATGTTATTGGTGATTTTACTTGTACAAGTTAGATTAGTGTCACTTATTTTTCCAAGCTTTGTGTGGCCTTAGCATCAGTAATTTCTGCCTATTTAGTTAAATCAACCTAGACTCAACTTTACTAGATAACTTTTCTATGGAGAACATACATAGGACAAGAGGGTATGCTTTGTAATGATTATTCCTTATCAGTTTCTCAATTTATTTGTATTGCGACAATAAGAGAGGCCTCCCCCTTTTATCGGAGGCTCCAAAGAAGGAACAATATATATATACACACATGAAGCTTCAAGGTTCTTCAATATAATTCTTAGACTACTAAAAGCATCATGAAGCTTTTACACAATATAAAAGGGGTCTATCATATTGTGGAGAACACCATAATGTTGTGGAGTATTCATTGGAAAATGCTTTGTATGTGAGCCACGTGGTGCATATTTGGTGTATTTGAACCTGGAGAGCTTGGACTATGACATTTTCCCACTTGATTTACAACGCTCTTGATGTTACCTTCATCTTTGAGATCGTTCACACTTGGCTTATATGTTTGACCTTCTTGATGTTGTTGGAAAATTCCGATGCCTTTGTTGTTAAGGCATACCACTCTAAGGACTTGACACTCTTGGCAATCTGTACTCGTTTAGCCCCCTCACCCGTCTAGCTCTCTCTCGACACTCCGGGTCAATTTGTGTCCGCCTAGACTCCATTGGTGGGGGCGTGCTGGAGTCCTACATCGGCTAGATTTGAACCGTTTCTCCTCGATATATGTTGGAACCTCCCTTACCATGTGAAAATTAGTTTAGCCAAGATAGATATCTAGGAGGTGTATTTATAGTTGAGAAATGGGGTCCTTAAGTTTTAGTAGTAGGACTTGTAATCCTCTTTGTACCTGGGTTAGGGATTAGCTAGAGTTGTGAAATCGTATGACTCTGGTGCTTGTAGGCTCCTTGGTGAGGGCTGTACGTACCTAGAGGTCTTGGTGAGCTCAATTCCTCCTTCGTGTTAGGTCGTTGGACATTGTCTTCCTGAAAGCTGCCAAGGTTCTAGAAAGATGACAGATGATAAGATGCATATCGTTGGAATTTATACAGCCTGACATATGCTGGTAACAACCTCATCCAACAGTATACATTCTACAAAATGGGTATGACTTCACAGCGTGTATCAGTTATTGGTCTAATTTTTCATGTCATATTTTTGCAGTTGAAGCCTCAGACCTAGAAGATGATAAACTTCATGATGATATTGGTCTAATTTTTCATGTCATATTTTTGCAGTTGAAGCCTCAGACCTAGAAGATGATAAACTTCATGATGATATTGGTCTAATTTTTCATGTCATATTTTTGCAGTTGAAGCCTCAGACCTAGAAGATGATAAACTTCATGATGATATT